TGAACAATACAGATTTTTAAAATTTACTTTATCAACTTGTCTTCTGAAGATGCTCTGTAGTGAAGGATCAGTAGATCTGTGGTCGACTACTCCACCTAGGCTGCATTTTTGAGCACAGATCCACTGAGAAACTTGCTGTTTCAGCAACATTTAATTAAAAAACTGTACTTTTGAGGTTAAACAAATGTTCATAATTAATATAAATAAAATACAAGTTAAAAGGGGCATGGAAATTTCTCTTTTTTGTATCGAAAAATATCGAACCGTGAGACTAAAGTATCGAACCGAACCGAACCTTGAATTTCCTGTATCGTTACATACATACACACACACACAGGTTTATATCCATCATCAACTCCTACAGGTAAAACACCATCAAAACTGAAGGTGCAGCAATAGGTCAAAATGTTGGTGTCTTACAGGTACTGAGGGTTTGTGTTGGCCAGCTGAATTTTCCCTGAACTGTTCACCGACACGGCAGCCAGGATGTTCTGCTCGATGGCCATCGGCAGCACAGAGTATCCACAGTAGTCGATGTGTTCTCCTGGAACAAAGAGAGGAATCTGTTCGTATGATCAGTATTCACTATATTATCCTGATGTTTTCTCTTTTTTTCTGTACGCTGCTAGCTTACCTTTTGTCACTTAGCTCTTAGCTACCATTTTGCTACTTTTTGCTTTTAGCTAGTCTTTTGCTGCCTTTAACTTCTAGCTGTAACTTTTGCTATTTTTAGCTTCTGGCTAGACAGGTTGACTAACATTTTGATACATTTCCCTTTTAGCTACACTTTCCCTACATTTTACTTTAACTTTTTTTAAAACTCAGTTTTCCTTTTGTGTATTTCTAGCAATCTGTTAAAGGTAGCACAACTCTGTTTGCTGCATGACCGGTTTCACCTGTTCCCCCATGTTTGTCGCGTGTGTTTTCTTGAATGGTGTTTCTTAACTGCCCCCTCCCCCTTGAAGATATTTCTGTGAAAGGCGCTATGTAAATAAAACTTACTAACTTTGCATTAATGTTTTGCTACTTTTACCTTTAAGCTACCCATTATGATACTTTTGCTTGTAGCTAAGCTTTTGTTATATTAAACCTTAAGCTAATGCTTTTCTACATCATTTTGGCTAGCCTTCTGCTACTTTTAGCTTTAGCTTGATTTTAGCTACATGCAACCTTTAGCTAGCATGTTGCTAAATTTATCTTTCAGCTAGGCTTTTGCTACATTAAACTTTGAATTAATGCTTTGCGACTTTTGGTTTTCATCCACTATCTCTAAATTTGACTCTCAACTAGCTGTCATTTTAGCTTCAGGTTCTTCAAATTTTTGCTACATTTTCACATAACATGCAATTACTGTATTATAAACAAACAATTCTACTAGTTTAGCGTTTAAATTTTAGCAGCAGACGTAAAATTTCCAAATAAAATTTTGAATCAGTGTCTTTGTATTTGAAACAAAACATTGTATCCTAATATTTTACTTTAGTAGCTTTTTACAACAAACAATGATAATTCTTTATGTAGGAAAGTTTCAAAGACATGGCGCATAGCAGGACATAATAAATATATGTATGTATAAATGTACATTTCACCACAGACTAACAATTTACAAATAAAAAAATGTTAGAAATCTTATAAAACAAATCAATAAAGTAAATTACCAATTAGATTCACCCTTCCAGGTGCACATGCGTAGAATAGAGGAGATTCTCCATACTTTGTTTCAAAAGCAGTTTTCAGTTTTTTCAGCCTGTAAATAATAGAACAGAAGAAATGAAACTTTAACATTTTCTTCGCCACTTCTGTTCAATCATCACACGTTGTTGCCTCTTACCTTTCATCAGAAGTGATCGAAATCTTCGTCTTTGGTGGGTTTGTGGCCATGTCTACCTGCTCGTTAGTTGTCGTGTTTTAAACTCAAAGTTGACGCACAGTCCGGCTCCTGTCAGCTGACTGTCACACGGGAATCCCGGATACGAAAAGGCTGAACTCGGCTCAGTTAATAAAATGGAAGTTTGGATTTGTTTTCATTCATGTTTCCATCAAATGAGCTGAATCAGCTGCAGGAGTAAATACGGAAGTAAGGGAAGCGCGTGCACGAGACTTGTCCTTTACGGGCCACCGTCCCCGCACGACGTAAAGTTCAGGATGTTTTTCTGCTTTATCAAGCAGAAGTTATATAACTGTGTGTGTAAAAGTTATTGAATGTAAGATAAATTCTGGCTACTTAAAAGAAAAGTTTAGACTTTTCTTTTGTCTTTTAAAGCTTTCTCGCAGTAGTAGTGATTATTATTCAGTTCTCACGATGAAATGACAAAATTGTTCAGGTCGCAGAGATTTTGTTGTTTCTAATTATTTTAGGTAAATATTTTATACCAATGAAACAATTTCGTTCTTTAAAATCTTTAAAACATAGTACAGACGCAAAGAAAGGTTAAAAACTACATTACCCATCATGCTAAACATGCTGTTACTATGACGACGAGGGTAGCCCAGCAGTTCCGGAAGTAGCAAAAAGAGTTAAAGTATGTTTAACAATCTGATTGATAAACTGTGTTTTCAATAGATAAACATTTGTCATTGAACACAAATATATTTAGGCGATTTTAGATGCTGGTTGCCGTTAATGTTTATGATTTTTAATCTCAAAAATCCCCAGAGGTCTGGCGCTGCTAACGCGCGCGAGTTTTTAAAGTGGGCGAGTCTTACTTCGGCTAGGCTAGGCTAGCTAGCTTACCCAGAGTTAGCTTTTTATTTGACGAAGTTTACTAGTGGTCACATTAAGAATTTTGTTTAACGCAATAAGTCGTGTTAAACATTGCACTGGGAGTGAGCCTTTACGTTTTAGATAAGTATGTTTTGCGGCGTGACGATTTGTATTTTTGTAGGAACACGGGACAACATTAGATAAGTTTAGCTCCTGCTTACAGTTTGTTATCACTGCAGCATTGCTAGCATTTATTGTTTGCAGGCAGAGTTATCCTGAAGATCATGAACCACTAAACAAGGAATATTTCTGTTCTACTAATCTACACCAACCAGTAAGTTACATGTTTATTTTAGTGACCTAATCTGTTTAAATGTGTATTACTTACTACTATCAGACAAAGTGTTCAGTTTCCTTATAGTGTTCATTTTTACCAGCAGGCATGTCCATTGATTTTGACAGTGCTGCTCTTCAAACCCAGCATGATGAAGAGGAGTACGACCAGGAGGATTATGCCAGAGAACAAGAGGTGCAACACACAGATGAATTGTTTACTCTTTGAGCAGGACTGTGCAAAAGTTATAAACTACTTCTGGTTTATTTTTTTTATATTGGTTCTAAGAGCCAGATGTGAACTTGATCAACAATTCTCAAGTCTTTCTAAAAATCTGTCAAAGTTCATTTTGGAGCTTTGGCTTTTACTTATTTTCTGTGTTTTGTGCCTGACTTATGTCACAACAAAGGAAAAAGGACAAGTAGAAGATAAAAGAAGATTTAAACAAAACCACAGCAGATCTTTATTTGAAAATCAGTCTTCAGAAGAAACAAACCCATCAAAGATCTGTCACTAACTTATGATTGTGTTTTATCTAAAAAAAAAAAACATTTTTTGAAATCATCGTATTGGTGATAAAATATTATGCTATGCTTGTCAAATTGTGTAATCTAATTTTTTATAGATTCATTAAAAAAATTAAACTAATTAAGATTTTGTGACAAGCTGCCATATAAACAAAGTACTTAAATATCCAGTTTAAAACTTACTTTTTGCTGATTTGTCTGTTACATGTTAACATTTTCATCCTAAGAGTTTAAGAGCCTTTTTATACCTGGATGATTTATCAAAGTAAAGTGGCAAAAACAACAACATTTTAAAAAGTTCAGGTACTGGACTGAAAATGAGCGAAAAAACATGCATTTGTCAAAGAACAATCCTTGACAATTTCAAGAAAACCTGGAGAAATCTTCATAAAAAGTCTTTAAAAGATCACAAGGAGTCTTGGCTTGGCTGGAAATATAAAGAAACTAAATAATGACTCAACAGTCTAACACACACACACACTTGTCGTTTTGTGCATTTAGTCAGACCTTTATTATCCACAAACTTGTGTTTTAATTATCAAACCACTCAGTATTTTCTTTTACTCATATCTTTTGCTGATTGGTTTGGTTTGTATATTTACATAATGATGTTTCTTCTGTTGATATTAAATCTGTCAGGTTTTCATTTGTGGTCTAAACTCATCGTGCCGTTTGAAACAGCAGTGAAGTGTGTTGATGTTTGAACATCACAATCACAGCCAGCCTCACACTGTTAAACATCCACACACTGTTATTCACACCCACAGCCTGTTGTGTCATGAGTTTGAGCTCTTATTGGCTCAGGAGAAAGGCCTCCCTCCAGGTGCGTCATGCTGAAAGCTACTTTCTGCGTGTCGATCACTTTGCCTCTCATCACCTGAGCCCTTCTGAGCCGGGTGAAGAGTGAAGAAATGGTTGGTGAACTATTTACCTGTGTGCTTCAGATATTAGCATAATGGGACATTGAATGATTTTATTTTTATGGAACTGATCCTTTTTCTTTGTTATAGCTTATTAATTACACACCGACTGGTCAAGTGGGAAACACTTTTCACCAGTAACTGGAATGTTTCTGCTCCAGTAAACCTTGCTATATGTTTTTTGTTTCTAAACAATGGAGTTCTTTGGGAGAGAAAAGCAGCGATGCCACTGGGAGCCGACCACATGCGAGGCATGCTTTGAATGCTTCACGCAGAAGGTCACTTCAGCAGACTGGTTTGGGTCCAGTGGTGGTTATCTTTTGGCTTTGCGGCTGGAAACGAGCTGTTTGCTATGTTTTTGCTGAACGTGTGAGTGGGCTGAAATGGGTCCCTCGGTTGTGGACACGGTGGAGGATCTGAGGAATATTCAGCGGTCCTTGTGGGAAGTAAGTCCAGCAGGTTTTGCTTGTTTATTCACACATGGCTGGTTGGAAAGGAAGCCTCGTCACGTTTTTTACCGACACCAGAAGGAATTTGATGGACTTTTACTGTGAAAGAGCTGATGCGTTTTGATCCACGTTCTGTTTGTTCAGTCTTACATATATCTTCCAAAACAATAATGATTAACACAAACATCTGTGGATTTCAGAAGCATTAGCTTGAGTTTATTTGAAGTTGTTGCTGATAATTTGCTTGCTGTAAAAATTCATCAAACTAACGATTAAGTACGTGGTTAAAATGTCAGCACAGAATCATTGTGGAAATGTTTTGTTAGTTATGTATTGCCTTGTGCAAACAAATGTTGGAGTTACATATCTTTCTAATGGATAAAATTGTGATAAAACAAAAACAGTTTTTTTCAATTAATGTTTTTGTTGCTGTCAAGTCAACAAATGCTGTCCTCATTTTCTATTCAACTCTGAGTGAGTTTAATTTTTTGCTGTGTGTTATTTTACAACTTGGTTGCGCAGCAACCCTTGTGACTCATTTCCATGTGCCACTTTTCTGCAGCTGCACAAGCTGCTCACAGACCTGCCCGATGACATGCTGGAGGATAGCAGAGACTGCTCCTCCCCGGAGCTGGAGGGCTCGCCCTGCAGCAATAAAAACACTGGCAGCAGGTAGGCAGCATGTTGCTGTTGACACAGTGTTGTCTCAGATTTGACACCAGGGTGTGGTTTAGAACAGTGATTCAGAAAATAGACCCCTCTTTGGGTTGTAAAACACTACATCAGGGGGCTTGAGATGATCTCCTGAAATAAAAATAAAAAAGAAACATACCTCCTACACGCTAATTTCACTGTAATTGTCACAACAGATGAAGGTAATAAATGGATAAAAGTTGCATGATATGAGTTCAGTTATTTTTGTTGCTAATACGTCTAATTTGTTATCAGTGTTTGTGTAGTTCAGACAGCAGCAGTTGGTGTTGAAAATCTTTGCTGTTATTTGTGTACCAGATTCTGAAATACTGCTCTATAATCCAGTGGTACATATTTGCCTTCTTCTCTCAGCCCACAGTCAAAGTGGACTCAGGAGTGGTCTGATCACACCCAGCCAACTTCTCACACACAGGTAGAGTCTAACTTTGATTTCATCTTGGATCTTTGCTTCCTTTATAACAGAACATAAAATAAAACCACTGATGTTGTCTTTCTAAAGACCTATGAAGTGGACTATGGCCAAGGCTCTCATGATGAGTATCAGTATGAGGATGAAGCCACTCACATTAACGGACGCCCGAATCACCAGCTGCTCCCTCACTCCTGGACCCAGGATCAGTTTGCACAGGAACGTTGTCCGTGCCCAAGCATCGGCTCAGATAAATGTCCAGAGGTCAGCGACTCTTGCGCTGACTTTGATGCGCAGTCGTACCCTGAGAGCTTTGAAAGCCACGTGAAATGTAACGGAGAGGGAGGCCACAGGAGTGAACGGCCTCATGAGGACCACAACACCAGGTCTCATTTTCAGGTGAGTGAGGTTTACTGTTGACAGTGTTTGACAATGATTGTAAAGTTGGAATGAGGAGGACGTTTTTAATAATTTGCTTGTTTATAATTTTTCTGTGTGCTGTGTATTTTTGAGGCTATGAAATATACAAACAATCAGTCTTTAATCTTCATAGCAAACAGTATTAAGAAAATATTAATTAACTATACTGCCAAATACTTATCAGCTGCTTTGATTTTTAACATATTTACTTAAAGAATTCTGGCTTTACAGTATATGTATTTATTTACTTTATTTAATTTTTTCCCCCAGAATTTAAATTTTGGACTGGGTGATCATGGTGCAAACCAGCACAAAGTGAACTTTAACCCTCAGCACCGCGTCCTTCAGCCACAGATGTTTAACGCTCCAGCTGCTCAGATCGATGACCAGTTTGACCAACTACAAAGAGTGTTCCTCGATTCGACCCAGGGTGAGTTTTAGTACTTTTATTTTGTCCGATTCTTAATTTGTTATGACAGGGCTAGTCAACTAAATTGCTCAGAGGGGTCACAGTTACTAAAAGCCAACAGTTCAATGGCCAGACATCCAGCAGTTACTCATTACACAAATTTGATTCATGGTTTAAAATAGAATTTATATTAAAAGTTAACCAGTTTAAATGGCCCTGTGTTATGATGAAAATGCATCATAATAAACCCTGCGTTAAACAAAATCTGAAAAGAGGAGAAAAAATGTCATTTCTGTTGCACTTCACTAGTTCTCCTGACTTTACAAGGTTGTAAATATTTTGCCCATTTTTTTACATCATAAAGAGTAAATGTGTACTTTAATAATAATATAATAAAACATGTTTAGAGCACTGTTGCTTCTGCTAACTCATCATATGTAAGGCTTGCACTAAAGGACATTTAAAATGACAAACAAAGGTATAATAAAGTATAAGTTAGAAAACCTTGATATACCTAATCTTAAATGTTTTGGTTTATGATAGTTGACAACTGTCTCGTCATAGCTGTATAATAAAAGCTTTATTTGCCTCATTTTCTGGGATTTTTCTACCACAAACCTGTTAGAATTTAATAGAAGTCCCGAAGTTTGAGTTTGAAAACTAAAACCTTAAATTAAAAACAGATGATCTCTTCATATTGTCTGAATGACTGACAAATGGTTAGTATATTTATTAAAAAAAAAACTTTTCTGGGTTTTAGAAACTGCTGACAAGGAGCGAGTTGCCCAGCTGCAGATTTTAAATAAAGCTCAAAAAAGGCAAATTGAAGATTTGGAACGAAAACTGGAGGATTCCCGACGTAATTTGAGATACATTAACCATCAGTTTGCAATTGTCAAAGGTAAGTTTCACAGTTTTAAGCAGCCAAACTCAGAATTATAAGATATATTCTCCATAACTTTGCTTTTTAAACTTAGTGTTAAAGGTCAGCTTGCTTTCTGACAGCTATATTGTTCTTGCTTTATTTTCATTAAACTGTATTCTTATTTTGCCAAAACCAACAGATGAAAAAGATGGTCTCACTGTAAGTTTCAAAGAATCGAGTCGACTGATTGAAGAGGTGAAGGAACGAGAGGCTCAAATGCAAAACAAGCTTAAAGCAGCGGAGCAGCAAGTACAGCTCCTCAGAGAGAGAGACCAGGAGGTAAAAGATACACTCCTGTTGCTCTGAGGCACATTCTTCTTTCCTTCATCTCTCCGTTTTCTCTCCATCTATCTCCATGTTCTCTCCAACTGCATCCATGTATCTTCCTGGCAGCTGCATCTCTAACATCTTTCTACCAACATACTCACTGTCCCTCCTCTGGACGTGTCCGAACCGTCTCAGTCTGGTCTCTAACTCTGACCCGCAGTCATTCAGCCTGCGCTGTTGAACTGTGTTTGCAGAACATGAAGAAACAACGAGTGGCGGACGCTGCAGTGGACAGCATGAAGCAGCAGATGTTGGAGCTCTGTCGCTCCGACACGCTGTCCAGGGCGCGGGAGCAGCACGACAGAGACCTCGCCGTCACCAAGGAGCAGCACAACGCCGCGCTGCTGGCCTTACAGCAGAAGCTCGACTCCACCTCCCAGGCTTTAAACGAGCAGGTGCGTGTGGCGTTCGTAAAACGTCTCAACGAGCGGCTCAGAGCGTGTTTCTCCTGAAATCAGACCGACGTCACCTGCAGAGCTCGTCAGCACTCGTGGTTTTTGTTTTGCTTGGCTGGTTTCAGACGGACGTTGGTCAGAAGCTGAGAGATCAAGTGAAGCTGCTGGAAAATCAGAGAGAAGCAGAGCAGCTGGAGAGAGCAAACGTAATCAACTCCCTGAGCCAGCGCCTGGAGGAGAGTCAGCGTCAGTGTGCCAAGCTGCTGCAGACCAGTGAGTGAAGGGCTCTGCGTTGGTATTTAACTGGTGTTTTTCATGTGCAGTGCTTGTGTCGCTGCTGCAGCTCTTTAAGAATACTTTAATGTCGGAGTTTAAAGATCTATAAAGTGATTGAAATTAGTATCTGATTTAATAATTTGGTTTTGTTTTTAGATGGTAGGTACTTTATTGTTATTATTATTTAATTATCCTTAATTGAACCAGGCAAGTCTCAATGAGATCACAGATTTCTTTTGCAAGGGAGACGTGGGCCTGAAGGCAATCCAACATGCCGGTTTGTTGTTTTTTGACTCAGTGGTTTTAGTTTTAATAATATTTATCACAACATTTTTTGGATTTGTAATATGTTATATTATAATGCTCAAGAATCTAATAAGCAGCTTTTTTATATTTGATGTTTTTACTTAAAATGATCCAAATTTCAACATTTTATCAAAAGACTTTGAGACAGTTTATGTAGGATTTAGTTTCCACTGTTTTTAAGAAAAATGTAGCCTTTTATTTTCCAATTTCATATAAATGTATTACAAACCCTAATTTTGATTGTTTAAAACCACATAAAATCATATTTTATGTGAAGTTTTGTGTGATTATATTCAGCATGTTTGTGTTTCTGAAAATGCTTCCCCAGCAGTAAAAGGCCGGTGAAGTTTAATAAATGCCAGACAAGTGCATGAGTTTAACACGAGGCGAGCTCCAAATGTTTTTCTGCACATCTGAACTTTGCTCGCTTCCAAATGAGTTTAATCTGCAGGGATTTTCTCTTTAATGTCTTCAGACTCTGTGCAGGAGATGAGCCAAATGCAGATCAGACTACAACAAGCTCAGTCAGCCAAGGCACTGAGTGAAAACACCAACCAAGTCTTACAGGTTTGCTTTCTTATAAAACGGTTTCAAATCATCTGAGTTAAAGGCTGTAAGAAGATGACCTGTCTGTTTTTATCTGTCAGGAGGATTTAGCAGATCTGAAGGAGCAGATCACTCTGTATGAAGCTGCCGTGAAGCACGGCGTCATTTCTTTGGAGCTGAGCAACGAGCCGGAGCACCATCTGTCTGAGTCCTGCATGGATCTGGGCTTGAAGACGGCTAACAGGAAGAACGGCACATTTCACAGGTACATCTTAATCACCGCGACGTCGCCGTGTTTCTGGGTTTGTGGTCTGGTGCGGACTGAACATATTTTCGTCGCCGTCAGCACCGCTCTGGCTCACCTGCTGGACTCCAAGCTGCCCAAAGACGAGGCCTTGAGGCTCCTGCAGGCGGAGCTGCAGCGCTGCCTCGGCTGCTTGAAGGGGAAGCGACAGAAGATCAGTCGACTGCAGGAGGATCTCCAGCGCTGTCAGGCTCGAGTCAGTGAGCTGCAGGCCCAGTTAGACGAAGCAAAGCTCAACGCTTCAGTAAGAGCGCCTCCTGGTGGCTGTTTGAGACAATTCATTTACTACTTTGTTCATTAAATAGAAATGAACAAAAACAGATTAACAGCTGGATAATTCTGGTCCATTCTTTGATTAGGAAAAAAGCATTTTCTCCGTGTGTCCACAGGTCAAAGAAGCGAGTCAGGTGAGACATCTGGACATGACCGGAGACTCTCGCAAAGAACTGCTGAGTCTGCAGGAAGACAAGCAAAACCTGCTGGAACAAGTGGAGGTCGACTGTAGTTTTATTGTTTATTAATATTCCATTACTTTTTTATTATTCTTGAAAAAATAACTAGACTGTTATTTATTTATTTTTTTTAGCTGTTGGAAAAGAAGACCAAGGAGCTGCAGCAGAGTGAGGAGAAGCTGAAGTCCACCAACACCGAGCTGTGCACCAAGATGAGGGAGATGATCCAGGAGCTGGACCAGGAGAAACAAGAAGCTGCAGAGCGGTGCGGCTCAGAAAACACTCCCAGCTTACATTCAGACGTTTCTGCACTTGTGTTTTTGTTTTAACGGGCATTTGCGTGTCCCTCAAGAGCTGAGCGGATCCATCAGCAGTTCAGGGATGACGTGGTGAACCGGGCCAGAGCAGAACTCCTGCAGGAGCACAGTGTTCGGGTTGAACAGCTGACTGCTCAGCACCAGCAGGAGATGCAACAGTTAGAGTAAGTTTGGTTGAACGTCGTGCTGACGTGAAACTCTTTTGTGCTTCGTTCACTTCTTATTTCCTTGCTTTGCAGAACTCAGCTGGCAGAAGTCAACGATAAGATGTTGGCCGTGCAGGAGTGTTACATTTCTGTTTGCAAGGAGAAGAGCTCGCTCGAGGAAACCATTCAGAGGCGAGAGAAAGGCGAGGCTTTGCTGAAAGAGGAGAGTGATGCAGCTGCAGAGGAGCTGAGGCGGGAACTTAGAGCAGCCTGGTCCAAAGAGACGGAGTCTGAAATCCAGCGGCAGGTGGACTCTCATGTGGCTTCAGCTGAGGCTAAATGGAAAAATGAACTGCAGAAGGTCTGACTCTGAACACGTTAAAAGCTTATTTTACTCAGGTTTTAAACTAAACTTTGTTGTTGTTTTCATTTTTCAGAGAGAGAAGACGTGGGTCCAGAAGTTGGAGGAGGCTACGAGAGAGAGAAACAGAGAGACTGCTGAGGTGACCTGTCAGACAGATGAGTCTGAGCTCAGCACTCTGACCGTTTCTGCTGAGGAGCTGGAGTCCCGGCTCAGAGCTCAGAAACAGCAGCTGCAGCTGGACGCTGACGAAGTGCAACGGAAAGCTGTGGAGGAGGCTAGAAAACGCCTCCAGAGAGAGTTGGAGGAGAAACATTTGGAGGACATGGCCAAGCAGGTCACTGAGGCTTTATGTTCCTTCTAAATAACAAACAAGCTCCAGTTTTTAATGTCTAGAGGTTGTGAGTCACTCATACACACTGCTGTAATGTCCAGGTCGTTTTTATCATCATACACTTTCACAGATACAACAGTTTTATTCAAAAAGGTTGTTTTTTATGGTGTTTCAGGTTGAAGGAGCTGTAACTCGGGCCTATAACAGCTGGATTGAGAATCTGTCATCATTACCAGAATTCCAAGCCTCACTCAAAACTGAGAAGGAGAAATGGGAAAAGCTACAAGAAGAAATTACAAACCAAAAAGTAGATCGAAATCTTTACAAATGTAAAGACGTACACAACCTTCTTTTCTCTCTTTGACTATAAACTGTTAAATCGTTTCAGGTGTCCCAGGCCCTGAGGGAGGCAGAGGAGCAGCGGAGCAGAAACCAACAGGAGGACCAGAGTTCTGGAGCCGGGAGGGTGGAGGAGCTCCAGCAGGAGCTGGCAGCACTGAAGCTCCATCTGGAGCAAGCGTCCAGAGAGCAGGCCGCCCTGCTGAGAGCCGAGCTGGCCGCGGCCCGAGCGGCGTGGAGCCGAGACAAACGGCAGGAGGTGTCCGTCATCGAGCAGACCTACCAGAGCAGGCTGCAGCAGGCCGTGCAGAGAGCCAGAGAGGACGCCGAGCTCCAGAGGAAGGAGCTGCTCCTGCAGACCGAGGCCAAGCTGCAGCAGGCCGCAAGGGCGCGAGAGGAGGAGTGGGGGCGTCAGCGTGCAGAAGCAGAGCTGACTCAGCGGCGGCAGATCAGAGACGAGTTCATCGCAGAGCTTCAGGCCGGACTGACCGAGGTCCGAGCCCAACTCCTCGGACAAGAGACTGAAAACCAGCGCAGACCCAGCGGCTCTATAAGTCACATCCTCCAAACATGCTGTGGAGACCTGGTGGACAGAGCCGTCTCTGAGGCCAGGAGGGAGTGGGACAAAGTGAGCTGCTGTTGTAAAATCATCCACTGCATAAACAGCAAATTAGAGATTTAACTTTTTTTGTGACGTGTTTTTGTCTTGATTTGATTCTCCCTCCCACAGACGAGTGAGGAGAAGTGGAGTCGTGTCTTAAAAGAAGCACAGGAGCAACACCTGAGCGAGCTCAACAAAATGCAGAGTATGTCACATTTTTATTCTCACACATCAGTTCCAGCAGAGCCGTTCTTACTTAGCGTGATCGTTTGATACTTCAGGCTGTTCGTGTCAGAGGAGGGACGAGCCTCGCTGCAGGAGGGAGTGCACGGAGACGTTAAGTAAACTGCAGAAGAAGAACCAGGAGCTGCAGAGGCACTTAGAGAAGGCCTGCCGTCAGCTTCAGCACAGCGTCCGAGAGCACAAAGCTGCCGTGCAGCGTCTTAAAGGTACTTTTCTTTACTACACCATCAATACAGCGTTCAGTGACATCCACTCAGCTGACTCTGGATCTGTTCACTCTGAACAGACGAGCACGAGAGCAGCATACAGAAGGTGAAGGCTGAACATCTGCAGCAGCTGCTGGAAGTGGAGAAAGCCAAAGAATCCTCAGGGTTTGTCTGCGTGAACTAAAAGTTTGGGGATTTTGTTGCTGTGCAGTTGTGTAGTTCAAGATTAAAAGCAGCACAGAGCTGGAAAATAATGTTTATTTTTACATACGGAAGGTCTGAACAACAAAACCTGCAGCAAGGCCTCGAGGAGATGAAGCAGCAGTACCTGATGACTGTGGAAAAGATCAGAGGTGGGTGTATCACACACACACACACACACACACACACACACACACACA